AGAAATTAGGAGAGTAGACATTCATGCCTTATTCCTGATCTTAAGAGAAAATAACTTAGTCTTTTACTATTAACTAAAATAACAGCTCTGGGGCATTTTGTGGATATCCTTTATCTGGTAGAGGTACTTCCGTTCTATTTCCAGCTTACTGAGTGTTATTTTTTTTTAAATATATATTAAAAAGTGTTGGATTTTGTTAAATGCTTTTCTGGGTATACTGAGATGATTATATGATTTTTGTTATTTATTCTAATAATGTGGTGTTTAGATAGGACCTTGAACTGCTGGCTGAAGACTCTCCAAAACTTGTTTCCCTTCTTCCAGAGTGATCTGTAATATTCAATATGATGGTTTTCACATTTGTCCTGTGCAACCGATTATAATGAACATAACTTCTCTTCTAATCACTGAAGAGCCTATAGCAAGAGTAACAAATAAAACCTATTGTTTCAAACCACTGAGATTCTGAGGTTGTTTGTTAGGTAGGTGCTTTTAAAATATGTCCACAAAATTTTCTTTAACAAACCATCCCTTATCATATAAAGTCTATTTCCCCTCTCAGTGAGTCAGAGTCTAAATGAGTTACTCACAGAAGTAATTTACAAAAAAATGTAATATCATATAGTGACATGCTTTGGCAGTGTTCCCACCTGAATCTCATCTTGAATTTTCGTGTGTTGTGGGAGGGACCCAATGGAAGGTAAATGAATCATAGGAGGAAATGTTTCCCCTGCTGTTCTCCTGATAGTGTCATAACATCTGATCCTTTTATAAAGAGGAGTTCCCCGAACAAGCTCTCTCTTTGCCTGCTGCCATCTATGTAAGATGTGACTTGATCCTCCTTGCCTTCCTCCATGATTGTGAGGGTTCCCCAGCTATGTGGAACTGTAAGTCCAATTAAACTTTTTTCTTGTGTAAACTACCTGATCTCAGGTATGTCTTTATTAACAGTGTGGAAAAAAAAAAAGAATACATATGGCTTTTAGGCTAAGTCATGAAAATAAAAGGCATTGCTCTCTCTTTCTCATCACTTATTCTTGGAAAATCAAGCTGGATTTCAGAAAGACACTCATGCCCATGTAGCAAAAAATATAAAAAAATAAAAGAAAAGAATAATCCTGTCAAAAGCCAGTGAAGAACTTAACCCTTCTGCCAAATGCCATGGGCAAAGTCAACTAAGAAGTGAACTCCTTGATACTATTAAATAAGCATCCCGTCTTAGTAAGATTGTTTTTGTTCTGGCAAAGATACAAATGACTTCTACTTGGTGAAAGAGATAACACCCCCCCAATATGTCATGTTGGCTATTAGCCAGTTTTGTATGTAACTCATCATCGTATATTGTTGCTTTTATAAACTAGGTTTCAAAAATGTGCTTTAAACCAGTCATACCATGTTACTGGCTCTCTAAGTAGTAATTAAAAGAAAGTAATTTATACTGGTTTAATTTTATGTATTTTTAGAGTCATAATTTTATGATTTAGAAAATTATATGTCATGAGCTACTTGCATAAATTAAACAAAATTAATCCCTATCACTTATTTAAATATAAGACTAGGAGCTATTTCCCCTGTCAAGATTGTGTTTTTCAAGTAGTACAGTTTTGAGTAAGTTACTTGGTGCCAGCCCCATCCCTTGACAGTGTTATTCATTTCAACACAGCTGCAACTCTCTAAAAGAGACAAGGGTATTGCCCAAGTTCCTGAGATAAACTGGGCTCTCTCTGACTGTAACTCACCCAAGTTCTTACAAGTAGTTAAGTAGCAGAACCACTAGCTTTGACACCAAAGCCCATGTCCTTTGCTTTTAGCCATGATGCCTCTGAAAAATAGACAGCTCTAGATCTGAATTTTTGCTTTCCCAAAAGAGTAATCAGCCAAGCCTAGTGGCTCATACCTGTAATCTCAGCATTTTGGGAGGCTGAGGCAGGTAAATCACCTGAGCAGTTCAATACCAGCCTGGCCAACATGGTGAAACCCAGTCTGTACTAAGAATACAAAAATATGCCTGGTGTGGTGGTACCTGCCTGCAATCCCAGCTACTCAGGAGGCTGAGGCAGGAGAATCACTGGAACCTAGGAGGTGGAGATGGCAGTGAACTGAGATTGTGTCATGGCACTCCAGCCTGGGTGATGAAGCGAGACTGTCTCAAAAAATAATAATAGGGCCAGGTGTGGTGGCTCAAGCCTGTAATCCCAGCACATTGGGAGGCCGAGGCAGGTGGATCATGAGGTCAAGAGATCGAGGCTATCCTGGTCAACTTGGTGAAACCCTGTCTCTACTAAAAATACAAAAAATTAGCTGGGCATGGTGGTGTGTGCCAGTAATCCCAGCTACTCAGGAGGCTGAGGCAGGAGAATTGCCTGAACCCAGGAGGCAGAGGGTGTGGTGAGCTGAGATCGCGCCATTGCACTCCAGCCTGGGTAACAAGAGCGAAACTCCATCTCAAAAGAAATAAATAATAATAATAGAGAATCAGCAGAGACCGACCTGGTCGGGATTTCGCCATTTGCATTTTCTCACTGCCCCAAAGCGGTGAGAATTAACACAAGACACATGTATCTCAAGCACGGCTGATATCACTAAGCAATCTGACACATTTTCTGTTTGTTAAACTGTTCTCAACATGAAGCCACTACCAATCAAAAGTGGATAAAAATGAATTATATCCTCATTCTAGAGTCTCAAAATTATTGCTGTTTCCTCTTGGAAACAGAATCTTTCAGGTCCTTATAATTCTCTGGTTTAGGCTCAATGCTGATTTCCAGATTCAAGCTAAAAATGAAGATTTGGATGTTAAAGATTGTTTTTCAGATTCAAGTAGCCCTAAAATAGTCCATAATATTTTGACTTTGACTTTTCCCCCAGATAATTAAATTCAAACTCAAAAACTCATGTCCATTTTATCTGCTATGTGATTCTGAGTCACAGTATAATTCTGAAAGATAGTTCCCAAATTCAGGGCAAAACAACTTAGATTTTATGTTTACAGGAGCTCGAGACATTCTGCTCCTATGCGAAATTATTATTAGTTATGGCTCAATAAGTAGGGAGAGAGGCTAGGCACAGTGGTTCGTGCCTGTAGTCCCAGCACTTTGGGAGGCTGAGGTGGGCAGATCACTTGAGGTCAGGAGTTTGAGACCAGTCTGGCCAACATGGTGAAACCCCATCTCGACTAAAAATACAAAAATTAGCCCAGCGTGTTGGTGTACACTTATAATCCAAGCTACCTGGGAGGCTGAGGTAGGAGAATCGCTTGAACCCAGGAAGCGGATGTTGCAGTGAGCAGAGATCATGCCATTGCACTCCAACCTGGGTGACAAGAGTGAAACTCCATCTCAAAAAAACACAATAAATAAATAAATAAATAAATGTGAAATTCTGTCTCAAGAAAAAGAAAAATGAAATTAGGGAGAGAAAAAAACAAGTCTGAACACAAGAAGGGAAGTGAATTAATCCTACTCTGAATACATTTGCTTTTGTTCAAATGGTTGAACCCAGAGATCACACTGCTTGCTGCACAACAGCCAGTAAGTTGAGAGACGAGGTGTTGGTGATGCAGAATTGTTCTCGGCCCCTTTGCTGGACTCATAGCAGGACAAGCCCTGTCTACGCCACCTGCCACACTCAGCCCCTGGCAGGAGGGAGCACGCGTGTGTGAGTGCAGGGCCCGGCTGGCCCCTTCAAGAGCTGACACAGGAGCAAACTCTGTGGGGGACCTATGGCCATATCAGGCATGTCACCCCAAGAAGAATGTGCCAAGGCCCAGGCAGCGGTGCCCACGACCCTGAGGTCCCAGAGGGAGTGTTACAGTGTACTAATTAGCTCTTTTAGTTCCACCATCCACAGCCCAGTGGGCAGCAGTGAGTTAGCAGCTCAGTCAGCCTCTAGCCTCAGTCTGGCCCACAGCTCTGGGATCCACGTGGCTCTGGGTCTGCCTTGGCCCTGCTGCTTCTGTCATGTGGGGTGACTGCCCTCCACCGGTGCCAGCAAGGGAAGAGGGCCAGTGTTACTATCCTTCCCAGGTACCTGCCTTTGATGGCTCCCAGGCTCTTGTCCTGTGTCCAAGAATGAGGTCACGCTGACAGTTGAAGGGTGATGAGAACAGAGAATTTTATTAAGCAACAAAACAGCTCTTAGCAAAGAGGGGATTGGAAGGTGGGGTCGCCTCTCTCCTGAAGTCAGGTTGTCTCTCACAGTGTGGCTGAGTCTGGGGCTCTTATAGGCACAAAATGAGGGAGTGCCTGCTGATTCATTTGTGAATGTGTGAAAAAGACTAAAACAAAGGTAGTACTTAAAAGTAGGCATAGTGTAAAAGCAATTAGGGAAGGGTAGGTATGCGCAAAATAGGTGAAAGGTGGGAATTAAAGGAAAGTGTGCCAAATGAGAAGACAGGTTCTCCATCCAGTGTCTGAATTTGATTTGTAATTTGGCTGTCAGGCTTTCAACTGTCTTTGGCTTGAAGTGGGGTTTCACTGGGGACTGCTGCTGTCTGCCTAGGATTTCTGTGCCTCCTGCTTCTAACATTGGGGCTAGAAAGCTAGTTTATTTTAGAGAGCCAGCAAACTGAGAAGCTGGCATACTAATGTCCTGAAGCACCACCTTAAAAGGCATGACTTCCAAGCTTCTTTCTATTTTTGGTAAGGGGAATCAAAGAGAGGCTTGAGATCAGAGGGTAATAGGTAGACACAGGCATCAGGGCATTGGAAGAAGCCTAAGGAGGTTGTGAAGCCCCTTTGTCCTTGGTCAGGTCACAATGCTCCTATAAACATTTAACATCGTTATAACCGAGCAACTTATAGAGAAAGTGCCACACTCTGAGATTGAATCAGGAGACTTTATTTATTTATTTTTAAATTGCATTTTAGGTTTGGGGTACATGTGCAGAATATGCAAGATAGTTGCATAGGTACACACGTGGCAGTGTGATTTGCTGCCTTCCTCCCCTTCACCCACATCTGGCATTTCTCCCCATGCTGTCCCTTCCCAGCTCCCCCCCGGCTGTCCCTTCCCTATTCCCCCCAATAGACCCCAGTGTGTAGTGCTCCCCTCCCTGTGTCCATGTGTTCTCTTTGTTCATCACTGGCCTATGAGTGAGAACATGTGGTATTTCATTTTCTGTTCTTGTGTCAGTTTGCTGAGAATGATGTTCTCCAGATTCATCCATGTCCCTACAAAGGACATAAACTCATCATTTTTGATTGCTGCATAATATTCCATGGTGTATATGTGCCACATTTTCCCCATCCAGTCTATCATTGATGGGCATTTGGGTTGGTTCCAGGTCTTTGCTATTGTAAACAGTGCTGCAATGAACATTCGTGTGCATGTGTCCTTATGGTAGAATGATTTATAGTCCTATGGATATATACCCAGTAATGAGATTGCTGGGTCAAATGGAATTTCTATTTCTAGGTCCTTGAGGAATCACCACACTGTCTTCCACAATGGTTGAATTAATTTACACTCCCACCAGCAGTGTAAAAGTGCTTCTATTTCTCCACATCCTCTCCAGCATCTGTTGTCTCCAGATTTTTTAATGATCGCCATTCTAACTGGCGTGAGATGGTATCTCAATGTAGTTTTGATTTGCATTTCTCTAATGACCAGTGATGATGAGCATTTTTTTATACGTTTGTTGGCCTCATGTATGTCTTCTTTTGTAAAGTGTTTGTTCATATCCTTTGCCCATTTTTGAACGGACTTGTTTGTTTTTTTCCTGTAAATCTGTTTGAGTTCTTTGTAAATTCTGGATATCAGCCCTTTGTCAGATGGGTAAACTGCAAAAATTTTTTCCCATTCTGTTGGTTGCCGATTCACACTAGAGACTGTTTCTTTTGCTGTGCAGAAGCTGTGGAGTTTGATTAGGTCCCATTTGTCTATTTGGCTTTTGTTGCCAATGCTTTTGGTGTTTTGGTCATAAAGTCCTTGCCTACGCCTATGTCCTGAATGGTTTTGCCTAGATTTTCTTCTAGGGTTTTTATGGTGCCAGGTCTTATGTTTAAGTCTTTAATCCATCTGGAGTTAATTTTAGTGTAAGGTGTCAGGAAGGGGTCCAGTTTCTGCTTTCTGCACATGGCTAGCCAGTTTTCCCAACACCATTTATTAAACAGGGAATCCTTTCCCCATTGCTTGTTTTTGTCAGGTTTACCCAAGATTGTATGGTAGTAGATATGTCGTGTTGCCTCCAATGCCTCTGTTCTGTTCCATTGGTCTATACCTCTATTTTGGTACCAGTACCATGCTGTTTTGATTACTGTAGCCTTGAAGTCTGGTAGTGTGATGCCTCCTGCTGTGTTCTTTTTGCTTAGAATTGACTTGGCTATGCGGGCTCTCTTTTGGTTCCATATGAAGTTTAAGGTGGTTTTTTCCAGTTCTTTGAAGAAAGTCAATGGTAGCTTGATGGGGATAGAGTTGAGTCTGTAAATAACTTTGGGCAGTATGGCCATTTTCACAATATTGATTCTTCCTAACCATGAACATGGTATGTTTCTCCATCTGTTTGTGTCCTCTCTTATTTCATTGAGCAGTGGTTTGTAGTTCTCCTTGAAGAGGTCCCTTATGTTCCTTGTTAGTTGTATTCCTAGGTATTTTATTCTCTTTGTAGCAGTTGTGAATGGCAGTTCGTTCTTGATTTGGCTTTTTTTAAGTCTGTTATTGGTGTATAGGAATGCTTGTGATTTTTGCACATTGATTTTGTATCTTGAGACTTTGCTGAAGTTGCTTATCAGTTTCAGGAGTTTTTGGGCTGAGACGATTGGGTCTTCTAGGTATACTCTCATGTCGTCTGCAAATAGAGACAATTTGGCTTCCTCCTTTCCTATTTGAATATGCTTTATTTCTTTTTCTTGCCTGATTGCTCTGGCTAGAACTTCCAGTACTATATTGAATAGGAGTGGTGAAAGAGGGCATCCTTGTCTAGTGCCAGATTTCAAAGGGAATGCTTCCAGTTTTTGCCCATTCAGTATGATATTGGCTGTTGGTTTGTCGTAAATAGGTTTTATTACTTTGAGATACGTTCCATCGATACCGAGTTTATTGAGGGTTTTGAGCACAAAGGGCTGTTGAATTTTGTCAAAGGCCTTCTCTGCATCAATTGAGATAATCATGTGGTTTTTGTTTTTGTTTCTGTTGATGTGGTGAATTACATTTATAGATTTGTGTAAGTTGAACCAGCCTTGCATCCCCGGGATGAATCCTACTTGATCATGGTGGATAAGCTTTTTGAAGTGCTGTTGCAATTGGCTTGCCAGTATTTTATTGAAGATTTTTGCGTCTATGTTCATCATGGATATTGGCCTGAAGTTTTCTTTTCTTGTTGAGTCTCTACCAGGTTTTGGTATCAGGATGATGTTGGTCTCATAAAATGATTTGGGAAGGATTCCCTCTTTTTGGATTGTTTGAAATAGTTTTAGAAGGAATGGTACCAGCTCCTCTTTGTGTGTCTGGTAGAATTCGGCTGTGAACCCGTCTGGACCTGGGCTTTTTTTGTGTGGTAGGCTCTTAATTGCTGCCTCGACTTCAGACCTTGTTATTGGTCTATTCATAGTTTCGGCTTCCTCCTGGTTTAGGCTTGGGAGGACACAGGAGTCCAGGAATTTATCCATTTCTTCCAGGTTTACTAGTTTATGTGCATAGAGTTGTTTGTAATATTCTCTGATGATGGTTTGAATTTCTGTGGAATCTGTGGTGATTTCCCCTTTATCATTTTTTATTGCATCTATTTGGTTATTCTCTCTTTTCTTTTTTATCAGTCTGGCTAGTGGTCTGTCTATTTTGTTGATCTTTTCAAAAAACCAGCTCTTGGATTTATTGATATTTTTGAAGGGTTTTTCGTGTCTCAATCTCCTTCAGTTCTGCTCTGATCTTAGTTATTTCTTTTCTTCTGCTGGGTTTTGAGTTTTTTTGATCTTGCTCCTCTAGCTCTTTCAATTTTGACGATAGGGTGTCAATTTTGGATCTCTCCATTCTCCTCATATGGGCACTTATTGCTATATACTTTCCTCTAGAGACTGCTTTAAATGAGTCCCAGAGATTCTGGTATGTTGTGTCTTCGTTCTTGTTGGTTTCAAAGAACTTCTTTATTTCTGCCTTCATTTCATTGTTTATCCAGTCAACATTCAAGAGCCAGTTGTTCAGTTTCCAAGAAGCTGTGCAGTTGTGAGTTAGTTTCTGAATTCTGAGTTCTAACTTGATTGCACTATGGTCTGAGAGACTGTTTGTTGTGATTTCAGTTGTTTTGCATTTGCTGAGGAGTGCTTTACTTCCAATCATGTGGTCAATTTTAGAGTAGGTGTGATGTGGTGCTGAGAAGAATGTATATTCTGTGGATTCTGGGTGGAGAGCTCTGTAAATGTCTTTCAGGTTTGCTTGTTCCAGGTCTGAGTTCAAGCCCTGGATATCATTGTTAATTTTCTGTCTGGTTGATCTGTCTAATATTGACAGTGGAGTGTTAAAGTCTCTCACTATTATTGTGTGGAAGTCTAAGTCTCTTTATAAGTCATTAAGAACTTGCCTTATATATCTGGGTGCTCCTGTATTGGGTCCATATATATTTAGGATCGTTAGCTCTTCTTGTTGTATTGATCCTTTTACCATGATGTAATGTCCTTTTTTGTCTCTTTTGATCTTTGTTGCTTTAAAGTCTATTCTATCAGAGACGAGAATTGCAACTCCTGCTTTTTTTTCTCTCCATTTGCTTGGTAAATCTTCCTCTATCACTTTATTTTGAGCCTTTGTGCATTTTTGTATGTGAGATGGGTTTTGGCTTTTTATCCAATTTGCCGGTCTGTGTTTATTGATTGGTGTATTTAGCTCATTTACATTTAGGGTTAATATTGTTATGTGTGAATTTGATACTGCCATTTTGATGCTAGCTGGATGTTTTGCCTGTTAGTTGATGCAGATACTTCATTTTGTTGATGTTCTTTAGCATTTGGTATGTTTTTGGAGCAGCTGGTACTGGTTGTTCCTTTCTATGTGTAGTGCCTCTTTCAGGAGCTCTTGTAAAGCAGGCCTGGTGGTGACAAAATCTCTGAGTACTTTCTTGTTTGCAAAGGATTTTATTTTTCCTTCACTAATGAAGCTCAGTTTGGTTGGATATGAAATTCTGGCTTGAAAGTTCTTTTCTTTAAGGATGTTGAATATTGGCCCCCACACTCTTCTGCCTTGTAGGGTTTCTGCCGAGAGATCTGCTGTGAGTCTGATGGGCTTCCCTTTGTAGGTGACCCGACCTTTCATTGCCGAGAGATGGCAAATGCTCAATATTCTCTCTGCCCCAAAGAAGGGGATTGATTCCTTTTTATACCTTGCTTAGAAAAGGAGAGTGGCAAAGCAGAATTTTACAGAAGCAGAACAAGCAAGTTAGATAAGGAAGCTGGTAACCAGGGGGAAGGAGGTTCCCAGGATTGTTGGTTACCAAGGGGAGTGGGGGGGGGGGGCTTTCCATACAATCGATCACCAAGGGGAGTAGGTTATTCATAGCAGCAGGTAGACTCGCCAAGCAGGATATAGGTACAAGGGTTACAAGGTACTGGGTACAGCATGACCCAGCTGTGCACTGGAAGGAGAAATGGCGGGGAGGGAGAGGCTAAGATGGAGTTTGTCAGGCTCACATCTATGATGGAGTCTGTTAGGCTATTACAGCATAACCATCGTTATTTATGTGTTTGGCCCTCTTTATGTCCTCGGGGATTAGTTTTTGGAACTGGCTATTATCATCCTTGCTTTAAACTATAAACTAATTTCCTCCCATCATCAGCTTGTTCTACCTGTAGCATTGAGCAAAGACAGTTAGCATGTGAGGTTAGAATCAACATCAATTCAGCTGTGTTAGATTTCTATCACTGTTACAGTGAGGTGAAATACAAAAAGCTAGGTCCCCGAAATAATGAGATTCAAGTTTCCAACATCGGCACACACACAGGTGGGTTGTAAAGCTAATGGTGGCATGACCCTCCCCAAGAATTTGGGTCCCGTGTTAGCTATACATTTACCGAGTACCCACTGAGCCAGGTGCTAAAGCTGATCTTTTTGCATAAGGGAGGGACTTGGAAATTTCAGAACCAGATCCTTGAGTCAAGAGTCAAGAATGCTCCCAATCACCAAATGTGATCATATTTTGAATCTTCCGTTGTGTCTTCTGAGTTCCTCTACCACAAGGTTATCCTGGTATGATTCTTAAAACCATAATAACAGGACACTTTATAATCACCACCTAATTGCAGCTGTTTCTTTTCCAGGAAGTCATATATTGTGTCTTCCCAAGGCATGCTGATAAGCCCATTCACGCAGATTAAATACTTCCAACCCAAAATGGCTATTATGCTTGACAGACTGATCAGCAAGTGTACGGAGATGAAAACTACAATGTGAGTAAATTGGATGCTTTAAATTCACTAGAAGGATGCTTTTAATTACACTAGCAAGTCTAGAGTCTACATATATTTTTCCTCAGTAAAATAGATTGCACACATATCCAGTGCAATTTCCCCTAATACTTCTTAATAGGGGAATATCAAGTCCTCAACTTGTAATATTCTTATTTATATTAAATCATCATTTAAATGTTTTTAAAATTATTCCCCCAGCTTTATGGCCAACGAAGCTATTCGACATCACAGGGGAACTGCTGTCCCCACACTAGTTGAAAATATACTTGCCTTGGCTGGGTGCCGTGGCTTGCGCCTATAATCCCAGCACTTTGGGAGACCGAGGCAGGTTGATTGCTTGAGCCCAGGAATTTAAGATGAGCCTGGGCAACATGAAAGACCCCATCTCTACAAAAGAAAAATATGAAAGAATAAGAAAAGAAAATGCACTAGCCCTTAAAAACTCAAAATCATGGGGGTAGAGGAACCAGGAAAACACTTTCTGCTAAGGCCAGGATTCTGCTATTTACTGACAAAGATTACCTTCTTGACCAAACTTTAGTTTGATTCCTTTGATCTCTGTCCTTGACTGGGCTTTGACCTTGAAGACCTTCATGACCTTAGCCTGCTAAGTCGGCTTGTTGAGAACCACCCATTGCCTTTATTTATCATACAATGTTTATTTTTCTACCCTTGACATGCAGATCTTTGGCTTGCCCTTAGCAAGAATCTTCCAGGTCAGTTTATCAAATGCCCCTTTCCACATGATGCCTATTTTTCCACCCACTGATGTCCTTATTCAGCTACTTTGCTAAACATCCCCCCTTGTCCTTGTATTCGGAGTTGAGTTTAGTGAGTTCAATCTCTCTCCCTTATTGCAATATCCTTGAATAAACTATGCCTTACCATTATCAACCAGTGTCCAGTGAACAACTTTTCTCTTTCTACCGTGAAAGCAAGTCTCAAAGTTACAAGCATGTCTTATGAACCACATTTTTAAAGTGAAAATACATCCTTGAAATGTCCAGCACAATTGGCGAGTTTGCTTTCCAAGGCATTCTCTTCTATTTAAATAAAGTGTTTTCAAATACGGTAATAACAGAGCCCTTTTTGGTTTAGATGCACTGCGTTCAGCAGACAGTTTCTGAGCCTTTACTGTGTGCCCAGCATGGTTTCAGGGGCCTCAGCCATGGCTCTCTTTCTAAAGGGTTCTCATTTATAGACCATGTGTGCTGCACCTGCATTGACCCAGGGGATGTTGGCTGTTTTGCTGAGCTGGAATCTTTTTTTTTTTTTTTCTCCTATTTCTATCGTAGCTGCATTCATAGTTTTTCTGGATTCCACCACATGAGCAGGAAAGGCACGTAATCCAGGCCTGCACAATCAGAACATTCCATTTTGACTGGTCATGGTGTGTTAGTCGGCTTTTTCATTGCTGTTGAGAAATGCTTGAGACTAGATTATTTACAAAGAATAGAGGTTTAGTTTGGCTCATGGTTCTGCAGGCTCTATGAGAATCCTGGGGCCAGCATCTGCTTCTGCTTGGAATCATGATGTAAGGCGAAGAGGGTGCTGGCGTATCAGATGGCAGCAGCAGTAGCAAGAGGCAGAGAAGGCAGGAGCCATACTTTTTAAAATAACCTGCTCTCATGTAAACTCATTACCATGGGGAGGACACATACCTATTCATGAGAGATCTGCTCCCATGACCCAAACACCTTCCACAAGGCAGGAGTCACATTTCAACATGAGTTTCAGAGGGGACAATTATTCAAACATATCAGAGGGTGTGCAACTTTATTTGGGCAGAAAGCCAGGTCCAGGACTTTCACTGAAACTGCTTGGAAGAGTAAAGAAAGGGCATCTTCTGCCTTCTGCAAGGATAAGAGTATGTGTCCATCAGGGGTTACCTCCTGAAGAGAGTCTTCCTAAGATAAAAGTCAGCACAGGTTAAATCAGAGAAGAGAGACAGAAAAAGCAGTTCTTGAGAAAAATGCTTCAGCTACTGGATTCAGCTACACTTGGAACTAGTATATTCCTGGACTTAGCAAATCAAATAAATAAATTTCTTTCTCACTCAAGTCAGTTTGAGTGATGATCAGAAGAGGACTGATGGCCACAGGGACTGACACAGGATGTACATGATTTTGATAGTGACTTCCTGTGTAACCCCGGATAAGCCCAACACACTCATGAAACATTTCGTCCTTGAATAAACAGGCTCCCAGCATAACCCCATTGCAGAGCTGCTCCCTGAGACCTGGAGGGGGACACAGAAGGGTGCTATGTCCACTGCACCTGTAGGAGAGGCAAGGCAGTAAAACAGAGAGGCAGTGACTATCCAGGGAAACAGCTGAGAGTTTGAATTTCTGCTCTTCTGCTCATGGGCTGTGGAACCCTAAGACAATTATTTGACTTCTCTGAGCCTCAGTTTTCTCACCAGTCAATTGAGAAAAATGGTACCATCTGGTAAACTCTCAAAGAATATTGGATGATGTAATCTCAGCACTTTGGGAGGCCGAGGCGGGTGGATCACGAGGTCAAGAGATCGAGACCATCCTGGTCAACATGGTGAAACCCCGTCTCTACTAAAAATACAAAAAAATTATCTGGGCATGGTGGTGCGTGCCTGTAATCCCATCTACTCAGGAGGCTGAGGCAGGAGAATTGCCTGAACCCGGGAGGCGGAGGTTGCGGTGAGCTGAGATCATGCCATTGCACTACAGCCTGGGTAACAAGAGCGAAACTCCTTCTCAAAAAAAAAAAAGAATGTTGGATGAAATAACCAAAACATGAATGAATGAATGAATGAATGAGTAGTGGAATACATATTAAAGGACCAGCAGGTATGTATGCCTGCTGCATAGTGACATATCAATACACTGAGAGAGCAGGGTTTGCAGCAGAGAAAGAATTTAATAATTGCAGGGCACCAAGTGAAGAGATGGAAGGAGACTCTTCTGGATCTCCTCAAGGGGTTCTGGGCTGGAGCTGTTCATGGATGGTGAGGGGCTGGAAGATTGGGGTCACTGATCAGTTGGGATAAGAGTGGTGAAACCATCGGGACATGGAAAATGCATTGTTTGGTGAGTCAGGTCCTTGCAGAGTCCTTCGGACCAGCTGAGTTAGTAGTTTCCCTGGTACACAAGACTGAAGGGTTATCTGATATGGGTTTGGCTATGTTCCCACCCAAATCTCATCTAGAATTCCCATGTGTTGTCGGAGGGACCCATTAGGAGGTAATTGAATCATGTTGGGGGGGGTCTTTCCCACACTGTTCTCATGATAGCAAATAAGTCTCATGAGATCTGATAGTTTTAAAAAGGAGTGTTGCCCTGCACAAGCTCTCCGTTTGCCTGCTGCCATCCATGAAAGACATGACTGGCCCCTCCTAGCCTTCCACCATGATAGTGAGGCCTCCCCAGCCACATGGAACCGTGAGTCCATTAATCCCTTTTTCCTGTATAAATTACTCAGTCTCCGGTATGTCTCTATCAGCAGCATGAAAGTGGTCTAAAACCATATCTCAAGTGGACAAGGTGTTCTAATGTTCAAGTTGTTAATTACAGAGCAGTTAAGTGGAGCTCTAATCGTGGAACAGAGTCGATGTGATTCTGAGGCGATCAGCACCAAATGGCTAAGAGGAAGCAGGTCAGAGAGCAGGCTTCCCTCATGGTGAATGCTAAACGTGCAAGCTGGATTCAATTCTCTTTCTCCCCTTCTCTTCTTCCCTGATTGATTTTCTAAAGTTTAAAGGGAGAGTTTCACAGGTGAACAGTTAGCGTTCAAATTACTGACCTGCTACTCATGGACTGTGTGACGCTGGGGCAATCATTTAACCCTCTGTGCCCCAGTGATCTCACCAGTAAAATCAACAACATGTAGTAACAATCTGGTAAACTCTCAAAGGAGATTAGATGAAAGAACGGCAATGTGAATGAAAGAAGAAATGAAGGGCCTGGCGCGGTGGCTCAAGCCTGTAATCCCAGCACTTTGGGAGGCTGAGGCAGGTGGATCACTAGGTCAGGAGCTCGAGACCATCCCGGTCAACATGGTGAAACCCTGTCTCTACTAAAAATACAAAAAATTAGCTGGGCATGGTGGCGCGTGCCTGTAATCCCAGCTACTCAGGAGACTGAGGCAGGAGAATTGCCTGAACCCAGGAGGCGGAGGTTGCGGTGAGCCGAGATCGCACCATTGTACTTCATCCTGGGTAACAAGAGCAAAACTCCGTCTCAAAAAAAAAAAAAAAAGAATAAATGAAAAAATAAATGTCATATTCTGGCTTGTTACTATAGAAAATAGGAAATAAAATTAAGAGATTAAGTAACTTAGACACTATTGATTAGGTAAATTGACAGCAATAAATACATGGGGCTCAGTAGCAGCTACTTAGGAAGTGAAGATTTTGTTTAGAAACCCAACGCCACCTTTTAATCAAATGGTGACATTGACAAAGTTGCTTTAACTCCCTAATGATCGGTTTCCAAATCTAACCTGTGGGGAAACTTAATGGTTAAAGTAGAACTTAAACGTTTCCAGATTCAGTACTTTGGAGACAAATGATATAGAAAATTGAACACATGAGCTGGACAGATGTGGCCGGCGTGTGTTCTCTTCTGTCACTTTCTGTTTTACTCGTATGTGTCTCATTTGTGTACTCGAAGTAAGTCGCTGGTACCACATCCCTCACGTACATCTCAGAGGTCTAGAAAAGGACTTTTCAAATATTAGATGCTGGCACAATTCTGACAGTTCTACATGCAAGTAACAGAAATTGATAAAATAATGGCTCATACAGTCAAGGCACCTAAGTATCTCTTAGTGCAGAAAACTGTGAGTGAATTATTCTAGACCAATGCATTGGTTTAGCAATGAAACCAAGAACCTGGGCTCTTTCTACAACTCATGTCTGTCACCCTCCAATGTTGATTTTTTCATTCTCCTGCTTAGCAGCTTGTGTTCACACAGCTTTAACCATCACAGCCTTTTCATGGGAAGTGGAGGGAAAGTTTCTATCATATCTTTTTGTTAAGGAGGCAAGAGTTTTCCCAGAAATCTCAAATGACTGCCTAAGACCTCATCTGCCAGCACTGGGTCACACGGTCACCTCTCGTTAAAAGGAGGTTTAGAAAAGTGAGTGCCTGGGGGAGGGGACAAAAGAGAAGATGATGGAAATGGCTGCTGTGTTAGGTGAAACATGGTTGGCCACAGACTGAAGAATAAAGAGGTGGAGAAGGTCATTGATCACCTCAACTGCAGCACTGCAGACAAGATAAAGAGAGCCTGATGCAGAGGAAGATTGAGGACTAAGGGTGTGCATCCACAGCTGAGCTCATATCTGAAATTATGCTTACATGAATGTGAAAATACCTCACCCACAGAGTTCCCCACCCCTTGCATTTAAGAATCAAACTTCACGCTTTCTGTCTTCCTAGCTTCATGTTGATATGGTAAAAAGAAAAAAATATCAGGATAACTCAGGCACCTTCAAGTTTCATCCTACTCGTCTCCAAAGATAGTGATCTCCCTTGAGTAGTCTTCTCTTTTGTCTACTGTGCAACAGGATATGTAATCATCACCTTCCCCTCCAGCCACCGTGCAAGGGTGCTTTCTCTTAGGAAACATGGTGCCGACATGCTAGTGATAATATTCCTGGAGCTGGGAAACTTGCAGAGTGGCCGGGCTTCTACTACCCACCGCATTTTTACCTGATGACCAAGGACAAGGCTCTGTCTATCATGATAGGCTGTCATCATAGTGGGTAGCCTGCATGCATTCATCCAACAGATATTTACACACTGGGTCCTAGGTGCAGACCCCAAAATAATCAGGGTGAAAAGACACTGACAATGCCAACAGAGTGGGTCGATATGGAACTTTTTTCTAAGTGCTTTATGCGCCGTTTCTTCTTGTTCTGTATGAAAAACACGTGCGGCATTTTCTGTTACGACTCCACTGTAGAAGTCAAGAAACTGAGGCCCAATGGTTGAGTAACACAGCTTGCCAGCAGTTGATAGCTACTGAGTGGCCAAGCTGGAATTTTCACCCATGAATTTGGCCACCATACACACTGCCTCTATGGTGAAAAATAAAATAGACACGATCTCGGTTTCTATGGGTTGGAGAGAAGAAAGGACACCAAACCAATTCACACATAAATACGATTCTAAATTGTCATAAGGGTGCAGAAAAATATAAACAAGCTACCAAAATAGCAAACACAAAGAAAAGTCATAATTTATGCTGAGAATTAAAGCAGGCCTCTCTTCTCCCTCTCTCACCCCCAAAAATGTGACATTTAAGCTAAAACCTCATGAACACAGCACATCGTCTTGTTGAATAATCTGGGGAGGGGCAGTGAGACTGGTGAGGAGCCATCTCCTGGGCAAAGGGAAGGGCCTTAGCCTGAGATAGAAATGGGTTTGGCAAAGGAGGAGAGAAACAGACAATGCTGTAACTGTGCTATTGCTGCAGAAATGCTGAGTCACAGGCAGCCCTAGTCTCACCTGTAGGCTGTTCCAGGCGTTTCTTCATTTTCCATACAAATTGTTACGGCATGCAGCATGTTCTTTACGTGGAGAATGGTAACAGCATAAGAGGACTAGACAGAAGCTTTTCAGTAACCCTTAAGAGTTTTTCTTGGAATGAGTCACTTCCGTCACATTTCATTGGCCAAAATGCAAGGCATAGCCAAGCTTCCGTGGGAGGAATTGCAAACTCACTTCACAAAGTGTATAGATGCTAATGTAGAGAAGAACAAAATATTAGGAGCAATCATCACATCTACCAGTGGCTCTAGGTGTTCTGAAACGATGGTTATTTTCATGGCTTTGGGATATGTTCTTTAGGCCAGGTGGAAGAAGGAATGAGCTAATCAGTGAAAGAATTAACCTGGAGAAGAAGTTTGGGAAAGGCCTCATGCTATGTCTAGGGGTTGGGTTTTATGCTCTCAGCCCTGGGAAAATGCTTACGAAGCCTTCCTAAAGGGCATCTTCAAAGATAATTTTTCTTTTTTTTTTACTGTTCTCTTGAAAGCCAAATCTTGAACCATGATCATCCCAGCCCAATGAAGCATTCCAGGAAACTGGGCTGATTGTCCATCTCTATAATCACTAAGTGGAAATACACTTCTAACCATGTTAGAACAGTATTTTTAAAAGCATCATTCACTTAAATTCAAAATCTTTCTAGATCTCTAGAGTTCAAGGAATCTTTCTTGCTGTCAAACAAATTTTTCTCAAACTTTTTATCTTAAGACAGACATAAATGTAACATTCTTATGGATACCATATCTTATCAAATAAATATCCTTGCTTTAACACCATTTATAAATATCTAAAATGTTTAGGCCTAATTGTAATGAGAATATAAAGGAAGACACATGATAATTCTTACATTCCACCACATCCCTTTATCAAAATTTTCAAAATGTCTCATGAAATCATAAGCTAAGTCACATTTGATATGATCTTGTAAAAATTTAATATTTTAAAAAATATCTGTTATCACCCTCTATGCTAGGCAATTTAGGAGACAAAAATTTTCTGACTGCTTGGGGCTTATAGTCTGCTTAGGGCAGTAAGATTGGCATTGAGAAAACTAACATGCAACAAAACTTAATGAAGACATGTTATGACAGAGATGATTCCTCTTTGAAGTCAGTCAATCAGCTCCAGAAAGAGATTTCTGTAGCATTCTCCTTTTCTTGTCCCATCTGAAATTTCTGCAACTTGTGAATGGCAGCTGATTTAGGCAAAAGGGAGCAATGATCACCAGTGGGTGTCTTGGAATTCCAGCCCCCAGTTTGGATAGTTGACTTCTACATAAGTTTCAAAGGAGAGCCTAGCAGAGAAGAGCGGAAGGAGGCAAAATGTCCCCACAGGACAGAGAACAGCAGGGCTGTAAGGTGCCAGGGTTTGCATGTTTCAGCATGAAGTTTCTATGTCAGAGAGGGCATGGATGCCCAACACTTGCAGGCAGGCCCATTTGCCCCTCTAGGTCATGTTTTATCCAGACCTATGCAGCAGCTCCTCTCCAACCCCTGCCCTTTACTCCCTCGAGTCCAGAAGGTGAAAAATGTCCACAACTTTTAATCAAAGATCAAATACTGGAAAAGAGTGGGCTACAATTTTTTTTTCATTTTTTGCCAGCCTTCTCTGCATCTTTAAGCCATGAATATCAGTTACCAACAGAAAACAAACCTAGATTTCACACAACATGAAAATTTGTCCAATATTCTGGAATTACAGGGAGATCCAACTACACCAAGTCCACATTCCAACATGGCAAGGATTCCCTTGTCCTGAGGCCCAAATCCTCCCTCCAGATGGGGTGGGGGCCTTCAGTCCCTTCCAGCTCCCATCATTCATGCATGTCCCAGTCTATTGCCTGCAGGGACAGCTGCAACAACTACTTAGCCCCATGAGATAACCTGCATTGGCTAAATAATGCATGGAACTAACTACATGCATGCCAGGCACTGTGCTGGGAATTATGAATGCAAAGAAGCAGATGCCTGACTCACTCCATCTTTGTGGAACTCACAGAAAAGCTGGAGACGCAAGCTCATTATTGAACCAGAATGTCACAGGTGCTTATAAGGGACATGTTCATCAAGAACCTTGGGAGGACGTTAAGAGCAAGCTGCTCCAACTTCTGTTCCATCTGCTGCAGGCACTGCTCCACTGTCATGCTCCCTTTGCTTATGTGTGTCATGAAACAGACAGGTTCATTTTCCCCATCAGGCTGTGAGTATCTCAGGAAATGGCCGTATCTAATTCACAAGAGCAAAACATATGAGTTGAAAAGCAGTGGAATGATAAATTGATTTTGACCAGATAGTATTTCAAGACAGATGGATAGATAGAGAGAGATAGAGATATAGTATAGATATAAAAGTCCACATACAGGTATCTCCAGATTCACTTCTTAAAGCCTGCTTTCCAATTCATGAGTCAATACATTCCTTCCTTGGGATAATCTGAAGCTTTGTTGTTTGCAACATGAAATGTCATGTGCTACATTCGATACACAGAATAATGTGTTCCTAGAGAGGTATGTGTTCAAATCCACAGGATCTGTAAATATGTTGCTTTCTTCATCAAAAGTAACTTTATAAGCATAATGACATTAAGGATCTTGAGGTGCGGAGAAGATTCTGGGTAATCTGGCAGGCTCCATATGATCATAAAGATTCTTACAAGTGAAAGAGTGAGACACGGGGATGAAAGTCAGAGGGAAATTGGGAGGCCACGCTGCTGCCTTTGATGATAGAGAAAGGAGTGACATAACGGAGCACATGGGCAGCTTAGGTAAGCTGGAGAAAGAAAGCGTTCTTCCCTAAAACTTCCAGTAGGAATGTGGCCAACACCTAGACTTCAGCTCATCAAAACCTAATGTGGACCTCTGACCTCCACAATTGGAAGGTAATGAATTTCTAGCGTTTTAAGTCACTAAAGTTTTGAATATTTGTTATAGCAGCAATTGGAAATTAATATAACCAATGACAGCAGAGCATTCTCAAGGAGGCAGACTCCCTATGCTTCTCTGTACTCTGCCCATTTGACGTGCCTTATAATTTGAATGAGTGTTTAACAATATTTCAAGGAATAAGTGAAAGGTGCAGTAGGAACCGGTAAATCACCTTCAAAATCGAGGTTAATCTATTTTCCTGAAGTTTGTTACTTCTTTCCTGAAACACCTAATCCTTCTAGAAACTGGACATCTCACAGTGACTCCCTGAGATATGGCTACAATACTAACACCAAGACACCTCACAGTGACTCCCTGAGATGGCTACAGTACTAACACCAAGACACCTCACAGTGACTCCCTGACATGGCTACAGTACTAACACCAAGACACCTCACAGTGACTCTCTGAGATGGCTACAGTACTAACACCAAGACACCTCACAGTGACTCCCTGACATGGCTACAGTACTAACACCAAGACACCTCACAGTGACTCCCTGACATGGCTACAGTACTAACACCAAGACACCTCACAGTGACTCCCTGAGATGGCTACAGTACTGACACCAAGACGCCTCACAGTGACTCCCTGAGATGGCTACAGTACTGACACCAAGACGCCTCACAGTGACTCCCTGAGATGGCTACAGTACTGACACCAAGACACCTCACAGTGACTCCCTGAGATGGCTACAGTACTGACACCAAGACGCCTCACAGTGACTCCCTGAGATGGCTACAGTACTGACACCAAGACGCCTCACAGTGACTCCCTGAGATGGCTACAGTACTAACACCAAGACGCCTCACAGTGACTCCCTGACATGGCTACAGTACTGACACCAAGACACCTCACAGTGACTCCCTGAGATGGCTACAGTACTGACACCAAGACACCTCACAGTGACTCCCTGAGATGGCTACAGTACTGACACCAAGACACCTCACAGTGACTCCCTGACATGGCTACAGTACTGACACCAAGACACCTCACAGTGACTCCCTGACATGGCTACAGTACTAACACCAAGACACCTCACAGTGACTCCTGAGATGGCTACAGTACTGACACCAAGACACCTCACAGTGACTCCCTGAGATGGCTACAGTACTGACACCAAGACGCCTCACAGTGACTCCCTGAGATGGCTACAGTACTGACACCAAGACGCCTCACAGTGACTCCCTGAGATGGCTACAGTACTGACACCAAGACACCTCACAGTGACTCCCTGAGATGGCTACAGTACTGACACCAAGACGCCTCACAGTGACTCCCTGAGATGGCTACAGTACTGACACCAAGACGCCTCACAGTGACTCCCTGAGATGGCTACAGTACTGACACCAAGACGCCTCACAGTGACTCCCTGAGATGGCTACAGTACTGACACCAAGACGCCTCACAGTGACTCCCTGAAGTGGCTACAGTACTGACACCAAGACGCCTCACAGTGACTCCCTGAAGTGGCTACAGTACTGACACCAAGACGCCTCACAGTGACTCCCTGAAGTGGCTACAGTACTGACACCAAGACGCCTCACAGTGACTCCCTGAGATGGCTACAGTACTAACACCAAGACGCCTCACAGTGACTCCCTGAGATGGGTACAGTACTAACACCAAGACGCCTCACAGTGACTCCCTGAAGTGGCTACAGGACTAACACCAAGACGCCTCACAGTGACTCCCTGAAGTGGCTACAGGACTAACACCAAGACGCCTCACAGTGACTCCCTGAGATGGCTACAGTACTAACACCAAGACGCCTCACAGTGACTCCCTGAGATGGGTACAGGACTAACACCAAGACACCTCACAGTGACTCCCTGAAGTGGCTACAGGACTAACACCAAGACGCCTCACAGTGACTCCCTGAGATGGGTACAGTACTAACACCAAGACGCCTCACAGTGACTCCCTGAGATGGCTACAGTACTAACACCAAGACACCTCACAGTGACTCCCTGAAGTGGCTACAGGACTAACACCAAGACACCTCACAGTGACTCCCTGAGATGGCTACAGGACTAACAGCAAGACGCCTCACAGTGACTCTCTGAGATGGCTACAGTACTAACACCAAGACACCTCACAGTGACTCCCTGAAGTGGCTACAGGACTAACACCAAGACACCTCACAGTGACTCCCTGAGATGGCTACAGGACTAACACCAAGACACCTCACAGGGACTCCCTGAAGTGGCTACAGTACTAACACCAAATCTCACTCTCTTCTACCCAGTTCTATGCATTTGCTAAATTAAACCATCGTAGTCTCAGGATCCATTTTCCAACTATTTTTGCTTTAAAAACTTGAGGTAAAGGATGGCCATTCACTGCTGCTGCTCAATCAAGGGAAAAATTTGTAGCAGAGACGGTAATATAATTCAGGAGGATATGGGGTGTTGGGTTCTGTCACAACTTAAATAAATCTCAATAAATTAAGATACCTTAACATCCTTTCAACAATATGGCACATTGAAAGTTCACAGAAATTCCTTGAAGCAACTGTATTGAAGTATTTAATGAATAAAAGGCCTTTCTACTAAAAGACCAATACCTATTCATGAACTGTCACCGAAGGAATACTCATGTCCTTCCACAAGAAACATAATTTAAAATGTTCCGAAGCCCCCATGTATGTGATATTGTAGGAGCTGATCCATCCATTCTTCCAATGGCTATGCAGGAAGGTCGTGCCAAGGGTGATGACCAAATCCAGGCTTTCCTTTTTTCTGCCTCCTGCCCACAGAATTAAGTTCAAGCACACAAGCTGGGTGAACCAGTAGCGGCCCTAGCAGGAAATAAGATTCCACTCAAATGGGGTTATGGGATAGAATTCCATAAAGCATTGGGGGTTTGAAAGGAATATTTACAGGTTTAAGAAGAATGTAAAAGGTGTTAGGAACCCAGAAACTGGTATCTTCAGAAAGCTGTTATCATCCATGGATCTGAAGGACCAGGAGGAGGATATGGTGTTGCCGGCGCCCTTGAAAGCTACTTCCATGGCAGAGGGGCTGTGTGATAGGGGCTGTAGTCCTGAATGGATGCGGCCATTGCCAGAACCATGGTGCCAAAGCAGAAAATAAGTGGGAAAACATCCTCCAATCCTTTTCTTTCTACCTTCCAAACTCCCACTGGTGCCTCCTGCTGGCCAACACTGACCACAGACTTTTATCACAGCTGATAACGGAGCCTGGGTGAGATCTGTAGGAGTCAGTCCCTGGGCACAAGGTATGGTGAAGAGTTGTAGGAGATGGGGTGGGGAAACAAACAGAGAATCACCAGCATACCTCGTACTCATGGGTCTCTTTGAACACCAGGCATGCTGGTTATTCTCTTTACACATTAGTCTCTCTGTAACCCCTACCAGATTTCACAGGGGAATGAGAAAACATCCTGTCCATGGGAGTAAAAACCTAAAAACAATATAGCAATATAGACAATCAGCTTCTGTCCTGGCAGAAGGCCCTTAAGGACCTATTGCAAAAATGCAAAATTTGTGTGCAATGATGTTCACTGAAGCATGGTTTGCATTCAGAAATGCTACCTGCAAACCCTAATGTGCATCAACAAGAAACTGGTTGATAGGTTATAAATGCTATGTCATGTAGCCCAGGGTTTAGACCTTCTAAGAAGGGCAATCTGAAGTGGCAAGGGTTCTTGAAGTCCAGGCCCAGGAGTGGTTCAACTACTCTTCTGCCATATTCCATTGGCCAAAGCACACCTTGAGGTCAGCTTAGGTCACAGGGATAGAAAATCACACTGCACTGCTTGGTGATAATATTTACACATCACTTGCTGTCCGTTTTCATCTTCTACACATGCACTAGGAAAAACAACACTTAATATCATAATCCACTAAATAATGGGGAAAACTAAACAACCAAATAAGAAAGACATGTAAATATAAATAGACCATTTACTAATGGCAAAATATAAATGGAAAATAGAATATTTGTTGAAGATGCCTCAATTTACCAGTGGCTAAAGGAATGCGACTTTAAATTATGTTTACTGGGAATGGGGGGGAATATTTTCCACATGAAAACAGCTACTGTTTTGGCAGTTAATAGACCACCAGACACTGTACCAAGTGAAGACACATAAGATAAATATGGTTTAAAAAATCTCATTTCACAGATGAAGAAACAGAATCTGGGAGGCTGTCACTGGCTCCAGTAATTGAGAGATGGGACCTTGGACCTGTAGTAAAGGCAATTGCATCCAGGGAGCGGTGAGGAGCCTCTTACGCTCTGATCCATCAATCGCTTCTCTTCAATGATCTTCTTTGCATTTATTATACTTAAAAAGAAGATCTGAGTGCATGGCTCATGACTGTAATATCAGCATTTTGGGAGGCTGAGGCAGGAAGGATCACTTGAGGCCAGGAGTTCAAGACTATCCTGGGCAATGTAATGAGACCCCATCTCTACCAAAAAAAAACAAAAAAAAACCCAAAAACTGGGCATGGTCATATGTGCCTATAATGCCATTTACCTGGGAGGCTGAGATGTGAGGATCACTTGATCCCAGGAGTTTGAGGCTGCAGTGAGCTATGATTGCACAGCTGCACTCTTGCCTGGGAGACAGAGTGAGACCCAGGCTCTTAAAAAAATAAAATAAAAACAAAAAAGACCCTTTTTAATCCATCAAATAAACACATAAATCTTTAGCTTAGTATAGATTTTGAGTTTCCTTCACTCCAACCTATTAATATTTTAGCAATAAAACTAAGATCTAATTGGAAAGAAAGTTGCCAAAATTCCATTTGTAAAGTTGGTTACATAGGAGGACTCAGACCCAGGGCACCTACTCTGTCCCTGTGTCTTTTCTTGTATGTCATCCTGCTTCCTAATCTCTGTTTCTTAACAGGTAGGACACACACCCGACATGACTTACCTAGGCACTTTGTCCTGCTTCAAGACCTCTATGAAAGGAGAGGTACCTGTGCTTGCTCACATGGTGGTGAGCAGTCACTGAAGAGAGACAGAAGCTTCATGCTTCATTTGTCTTCCTTTGGATCCTTTCCACATCTGTAAGCGCACTGTCATAAAAGCAGAGGAAAACAGCTTTTCTCTTAAAATGCAAAATGAATAAATACCACTGCAATCCATCAATTGCCGGAATAGAGCATTACTCTTACACCCATCTGTACCTTTCTGTATTTAACTTGGTGGGTTTGAAATCACCAAGAGAAAATAACTTAGTCATTTTTTTTCAGATGGCATCTTCCAGACAGGGGTGGCTTTCTCTGATACCAAGTGGCATCGTCTATTATTTGGATTATTCTACAGCAACATTTAGAATCAGTGGAATAAAATTGCAAAATGAAACCAAGTCCATTTATTCAGTGGAATAGAACTGCAAGATAAAACCAAGTCTTGGAAACATATTTTTTACAGAAGAATCTGCACTTAATTTATTTATTTTTTCAACAAAGGTGCAAAGGGTCAGTCTCACTTCATTTCTCTTTCAGGGCATGTTATTATTATTGGTCTGTGAAAGAATGCTTTTTCATTCATTCATTATGTTGAACTATGTAAAATTACCACCTTTGTAAGATAGAAAAGTAATCAAATATTAATGATTTCAAGTGGATCACCTAGTAGTTATTCCTTATTAGACCCACATCCAGGTTGGGTGATGTGGCTCATGCCTGTAATTCCAGCATGGGAAGCTGAGGCAGGTAGATCACCTGAGTTCAGGAGTTCAAGACTAGGCTGACCAATGTGGTGAAACCCCATCTCTACTAAAAATACAAAAATTAGCTGGGCATGGTTGCGTGTGCCTGTAATCCCAGCTACTCGGGAGGCTGAGGTGGGAAAATCTCTTGAACCCAGGAGGCAGAGGTTACAGTGAGCTGAGATCTTGCCAGTGCACTCCATCCTGGGCAACAAAAGTGAAACTCTGTCTCAAAAAAACAAAAAACAAACAAAGAAAGCCAAAAACCAAAACAAAACCCCACATATCCTGCTACTATTTCCATTTCTGTATTGCCCAGTAGATACATAAAATTAACATATATTTTGTTACGGCCATGGAGTTGTCTGTGTGTTCTGTCAAAATATATATTGCTATTTGGGGTAAATAATATACTCATTATGCTTCTTTCTTAATTCACTTTTTTAAAAACACCTAGCTATGTTTCTATTTTTAAATCTACTCTTTTGTTTCTAACCATGGCATGATGCTGGACAGTTTGCCATGGCACGGCACGATGCTGGACAGTTTGCCACAGCATGGCACGATACTGGATAGTTTGCCATGGCACATTTTTACTACTCCACTCTCCCATCGGTGGGTACTCAGATTGCCTCAAAGCACACATCTCCCAGATATAACACTGCAGTCATCATTCTCACACATATATGCTGAGAGACTCATCTGCTTATTGATTTTTACAAGCTCCCTGGATATTTCATCTGTCAGTCTTTCGATAAATTTAGACTCTGCAACTATCCCCTGAGAAGACATCCTCCCATCTCAAAGTGCTTCAGAAAATCCAGTAGTGATCTCAACAAAACACTGTGACAACACAATCTTTCTAACGATAATCACATAGTCTCTTCAGCTGCAAGGCGAAATAGATTCCTGGGGTTTCTCACATTGTTGTTTTCATTAAAGCTAGTTCTCTCCAAAATATGTCAAAACATTATTCTTTCTATATGTCTGTATAGTCTCCTTTACTTCTTAAACTGTTTTAATTTTTAAAATTAAAACAGATGCTATTCACTATTCACAATAGTAAAGACATGGAATCAACCCAAATGCTCATCAGTAATAGACTGGATAAAGAGCATGTGATACATATTCACCATGAAATACTATGCAGCCCTGAGGAGGAAAGAGATCATGTCTTTGCAGGAACATGGGTGGAGCTGAAAGCCATCATCCTCTGCAAACTAACACAGGAAGATGAAACCAAACACTGTATGTTCTCATTTACAAGTGGGAGCTGAACAACGAGAAAACCTAAACACACTGAGGGAATAACACACACTAGGCCTGTTGAGGAGTGGTGGGGGGAGAGAGAGTGTCAGGAAGAATAGCTAATGGATTCTGGGCTTCATACCTCGGCGATGGGTTGATCCGTGCTGCAAAGCACCATGGCACACGTTTGCCTATGTAACAACCTGTACCTCCTGCACATGTGCCCCAGAACGTGAAATAAAAGTTTAAGAAACAACCATAGATGCTACCAATTCACTTTAAGAAAAAAAATAAAAATGTTCAATTGTTGAATTTGTGGTAAATATAATCTGAACAACTACCAGAACAAAGATGTGAAGCAAAATAGATGCACAAAACGAATCAAAGAAAATTCTAGAGTGGGAAATTAAGGAACACGCATTAGCTTTGCTCTGCAGGTAAATTCACTCTCGTTCCCTTCCTGGTAACTGCATCGTCTTTCCCAGTGAAGAACCAGCCCTCTCCGACTCTCAGTTCTGCCATGTGGAACCCCGCCTCTGCTGGAGAGGAAACGTAGGTGGTAACAGCTAAGCTAAGCAGTGTGTTCCTGCCTCTCTCCCCAGTGGCTGGCTCAGGCTTGGGCATGGGACCCAGGGAAAGCTAGGGAGCACTGGGGAGACTCTCTTGGGTTTCTACATATGAGGGTCTCACACTTTCCCATGGGAGGTTGTGAAGTCCAGGCTGATGCATCTATCTTCCATTCATTACCCTTTTTACAGGTAAAAGAAAGTCTCTCTGAGAAGCCAAGAATACTCCCGGAGCAAGTGAAATGGGAAAGTTATCTGAAAGAACCGTGCGTCGGACAGAGGGAAGATCCAGGCAGAGACCCTGCTGCAGGCACAGCCTTGGAATATGGGGAAATAAGAGAAGAGGGAGCTACCGTGGGGTGAACAGACTAAATGATGGTAGGACGTGAAGTCAAGCCTGGTTTTGTTGTTGTTGTTTTTTGATACGGAGTCTCTCTCTTTGTCACCAGGCTGGAGTGCAGTGGCGCAATCTCAGCTCACTGCAGCATTTGCCTCCTGGGTTCAAGCAATTCTCCTTCCTCAGCCTCCCAAGTAGCTGGGACTGCAGGCCCACATCACCATGCCCGGCTAGCTTTTGTATTTTTAGTAGAGACAGGATTTCGCCATGTTGGCCACGCTGGTCTCGATCCCTTGACCTCATGATCAGCCTGCCTCGGCCTCCTAAAGTGCTGAGACTACAGGCATGAGCCACAATGCCTGACCAGAAAAGCCCGTTTTTAAATGTCAACAGTAGGTATATAAAAGAAGAGAGAGTGGGGGCCAGGGTGGGGGGGACAGGAGGAGTCAAAGGAGTTTGGTATTTTTTTGATAGCAAATGAAGCCTGACCCCTCAGGGCTAAGTTACGACTTTGCGTGCTCCAGATGCTTTCGCTTCGTGGATTCCTACTCCATTAAAATATTATTATCGTGCTATTTCTTCTAATTTTAAAATAAATAAAAATTACAATATTTCATGAACCGTTTAATAGTACAATGGGCCTCAGGCACGGTGTCTGTCGTGGCTACTGGATACATTGCTACCCTGGACCTATTATTTATAGGAAGCATTAAATTACTTTTCTACTTAAGCCAGCTTTGGTATCGTTTTCTATTATTTGTAGTCAAAAATTGTTCACCAGCACAAAACGCTTTCTTCTCCTTAAGCAACATTTAATAATGCATGCATCCTTCCCTCGAGAAACCGTTAGTGTAAGCACAACAGATGTTAATTACCAGATTTAAAACAAGCAAACTTTGGTGTTCTAGTTCTTGAGTATTATCAGAGGAGGATCACGTGCAGAGCTAGGCAGTAACTTTAGTGAAATGATCATGGGCATGCAGCTGTGCTTCTCTTTTAATGAATTTGCTTCTCCTACATAACCTGCCACCAGCGGAGGACAGGCTAGATGTCACTCTCCAACAGTGGGGAGGAGTTAGGCAGCATCTTTACCCCCACACCCCATCCTCAATTCATTTCATGGCATTATCAATTGTCAAGTTATGCTGCTATAGAACAAATTACATCAACTGTAATTTGACACCATGGGCCTGAGCCTAGCATCTCTAGACCATTAATACCTGTTCAAACATGTATTCAAGACCATTAATACCTGTTCAAGCGTGTGCAGGTGTGACACTAAAAGTAACACAATACAGCTGTTTTTAGCTGCATGGAAGGAAGCCTGGACTCCCAACATGGTTACTGTTACTAATAGCTGTGCTAGACATTTTTCAGTACTTGATGCTTTTCAAAGAATGTTGATGTGCATCATCTGCTGTTATCCTCACAAATCACCCCCATGCCCACCACAGGAAGCTATAATTCTCATTTTATCTAATAGGAAAATAAAGCTCCAAACATTCAAAGAAGTTACCCATGATGTCTCTGTCACAGGGTGGGGTCTCCAATACTGATCTTGAGTTCCAATCCTAATGTCTCTGGGCCGTCTCCATTCCCTTCCTCCCTACCTATCTTTGGGAGGCGTGAGAGGCCCTCCTTTGTTTAAATCTTGAGAATCAATGAAATTCTCTTTGCCCAAGACCATCACATGAGATCTCACATCTGAACCATAGAAATTTTGGAGATTCACATCCTAAAACTATGTTTCTCTATCCCAGGCAATCCCTCCACGTATTGACCCAGACACATAATCTAATTTGCCAATGAGACAGAGAGAGAATAATAGAAACTCCAGAGGAACAAGCCCTGGGGGCATATTGCCCAGAATTGAATCCACACAGCAGGTGCTTTGGTGCCTGTAACTCAAGACTTCCTCATAATCCTCTGTCCTTCATCAACACCTGGCTGGGCAGGTACTTTACATCTATTAAAAATAGTATAATTTCTAGGTTCTGCTTGTTAATTTTGATCTCATTTGTCTATTACAGCATCAGATTGAGTTTTCCGTAGATCATCTGTAGTATCCTGAAAGATTGTAGTAGAAGGTTTTGAAACGATCGCCACTTAACCTGCTTACCAGGTGATCCCACACCCTCCATTCGCCTCCATGGCCCGCAGGAGATGCTCGCTCTAGGTGCTGGTTCTCTCTCCAGCTGCCAGGCCATTTCT